AGAGCCTTTACTACATGAAAATGAAAATTAATGAATACACTGTGTACAGTAATTTACCTGATAAGACAGACCTCAGAAAAATACTTTATGAGAGCTTTTATACTTTTATAAAGCTGTCTATAATGAAAATTAATTAACTAAGGATTTTTTTGCCGTGCCAGGGTGTGGCCGAGTTATCCGGAGTGCCGGGTTATCGAGAGCCGAGTTTTCGAGGTTCTACTGTAATAGAATATAACCATTTTGCCAATCAGAAACCGTGTCATTATACGTTACTATCAACTAAATAAATAAATAAAGGATGAAAGGATGACTAGTGTTCTATTAATTGCACTTTATAGTGCTTAAACAACAAAAATGAATATAACCAGTATTTACATACCTTGTATAAAGAAATTGCTGACAAAACAGGTACCAAGTTTGCATACATGAGCACTCCCATGATGTATAAGATATTACACAACAGGAAGGACAAAGCCAATGAACGTAGAGCCCCAGGGATGTACAGTATTCCTGTGAAGGGCAACAGATTCCAAAGGGATGTAGTATACATTGAATCCACTAACACTCAATACAAAAAAGAGTGCAAGAACATTGGTACAACATTTCGAAAAAAGGCATACCACTGCCCTATTCTTTTACATCACTGAGCATGATGTGTGAGCCAATCTCTAAAATGCCACGTTAATAAGGCAATCATTTCAAACATCACATTAGGGTTCTAGAAGCCTTGGAAATATACAAGGCCAACCTGGCTGGCAAATGTATTAACTTTAAGGATGAAAAAAAACAGTCTCGTATGTATGACAATACTTTTACAAATAACTGGGGGGATCAGACATAATACCAATTAATAAAATTAAATTATGTCAGCACTCCCTGAGTCCTAAGACCTGTTTTCGTTGAGTATCAACTCTCTCGCACACCTAATGTGTTATATCTCAGTGTTTCAATTTAATAACAACACACATTTACAAAAACAGTGTATTCCCATGAGCAGCCCTCTTTCAGCTGATCTGTACAAGTTGGTTGTGTGACAATTGGAGAAAAGGTCATTCTTGAATTCATATTAAATGTTGTATACAAGAGATACATTGATGAACTATTAGTTTTCTGGAAAACTGAGCCAGATGTAAACAGTTTCTTACAATTCCTGAATATGGTCTAACCCTTAAATTAGATCAGATAAGTAGTATTAGCACTTATTTCTTAGATATTAACATTCATTTTAACAAGGACTGCATAGAAACAGGCATCTATTACAAACCCAGCTATTTACCATTATTTATTCTGGCAAACTTGGCTGACCCTTTTTCATATAAAGGGCTACCTTTTGTGCTCAACAAGACTGGCCTATACACACCATACTAATTGGGAAGACACTTTAATAGAGCTAATGCATGTGAAAAACACTTGGATATAGAAGGGACCTAATATGTATTTTAGCTCATACCTACTTCAACAAAGAGGTTTCCAACAGAGGTCAAACATGCAACCCTAACTCCAGGTGCACAGTACAGTAGAACCTCGAAAACTCGGCCTAATGTGGACTGAAGGGTGGCCGAGTTTGTGAAAATGCCGGGTTATCGGGAATGGGTTAAAAAAAATAAGTACGAGTGTTTCCTCAGAAAATACTGTACTGTACTTGTATGTATTGTTTACTTGAGAATACAACAGAGAATAAACTGCCCAAAACCCCTTAACCAAANACACAAAAGTGCCAGTGCTGCCAGCTAAAACACACACACCACACACTAACAAAAAAAATATTGGAGTAGCCCAAGATATAGCCAAAGATTGCAGCGCCACAGCACTAGCGAAAATTTAAATTTGCCGACTGGAATGCTTTCAGATAAACGACGCTCTACTGTATTTAAACAGAATCTTATAGTTTCACAACATTGAACATAGACTAAAACAGTTTACTTTTACATAAATGTAAAGGTACAGTAATGCTCCATCATGTTTCTGTCAGATCAAGGTAAAATTGATGTAAACAAGTTTCTATTTTAGTTTTTTACTAGAAGTTTTTCCCCAAACTTGCCATCACTCAATTCACTTAATTCTTCATTCTTTACTGAATAAAATTTCCTTCTTCTCAATACTAGAAAGAATCACAAACACACTTTGAAAAACCTTTAAAGTCCAGTAATCAAATTTTTTAGAGTAAAAAAAAACTTTTTTGACAAATGTTTTTGACTTTACTCAAGGTCTTCCTCAGGTCTGTAACGATATTCCAAATTGGAATGCACAGAATAACTTTTCAAAATATTATTTTTAAAAATCCGGAACACAAACATAATGATATATAACAACAATTAAACAGTGGTAAATATAAATTTAACACCTATATAAAGTTAAATATTTTAGGAATAAAATATTTAAAAATAAAAATTTTAGTCATAACATAATACTAATTAATAAAATTAAATTATGTCAGCACTCCCTGAGTCCTAAGACCTGTTTTCGTTGAGTATCAACTCTCTCGCACACCTAATGTGTTATATCTCAGTGTTTCAATTTAATAACAACACACATTTACAAAAACAGTGTATTCCCATGAGCAGCCCTCTTTCAGCTGATCTGTACAAGTTGGTTGTGTGACAATTGGAGAAAAGGTCATTCTTGAATTCATATTAAATGTTGTATACAAGAGATACATTGATGAACTATTAGTTTTCTGGAAAACTGAGCCAGATGTAAACAGTTTCTTACAATTCCTGAATATGGTCTAACCCTTAAATTAGATCAGATAAGTAGTATTAGCACTTATTTCTTAGATATTAACATTCATTTTAACAAGGACTGCATAGAAACAGGCATCTATTACAAACCCAGCTATTTACCATTATTTATTCTGGCAAACTTGGCTGACCCTTTTTCATATAAAGGGCTACCTTTTGTGCTCAACAAGACTGGCCTATACACACCATACTAATTGGGAAGACACTTTAATAGAGCTAATGCATGTGAAAAACACTTGGATATAGAAGGGACCTAATATGTATTTTAGCTCATACCTACTTCAACAAAGAGGTTTCCAACAGAGGTCAAACATGCAACCCTAACTCCAGGTGCACAGTACAGTAGAACCTCGAAAACTCGGCCTAATGTGGACTGAAGGGTGGCCGAGTTTGTGAAAATGCCGGGTTATCGGGAATGGGTTAAAAAAAATAAGTACGAGTGTTTCCTCAGAAAATACTGTACTGTACTTGTATGTATTGTTTACTTGAGAATACAACAGAGAATAAACTGCCCAAAACCCTTAAACAAAGGAAAAGAACATCCTTTATGAAGGCATAGAGCCTTTACTACATGAAAATGAAAATTAATGAATACACTGTGTACAGTAATTTACCTGATAAGATAGACCTCAGAAAAATACTTTATGAGAGCTTTTATACTTTTATAAAGCTATCTATAATGAAAATTAATTAACTAAGGATTTTTTTGCCGTGCCAGGGTGTGGCCGAGTTATCCGGAGTGCCGGGTTATCGAGAGCCGAGTTTTCGAGGTTCTACTGTAATAGAATATAACCATTTTGCCAATCAGAAACCGTGTCATTATACGTT